CGTCGATCGAGCGAAGTGCTGAGGTCGGATCAGCGGCTGGAAATACTGCGTGTAGCTGGGAGGGTGCAGATGACTCACGCTGTGGTCCGTGCCGCCAACCCGACACCTCGGTCAGTCAGCCGACAGTGTTCGCAGATTCGTCGGAATTTGATCGATTCTCCGTTTGCGTGCGTTGTCATATGCTTGAACTCATGCTATATTTATCACTGCATTGTAATTTTCTGAAGTTGCTGACAATGACCGTATATTATTCTGTCTGTAAATTTTGATGAATATTTATCTGTGTTTACCTTGTTGTATGGTTTTGGTTTACTCTGTCCTTTGTTACCTTGCATTTTTATGAACACTGGTAAAGTAATTGCCGTATTGCTTGTAGTCGATGGTAAGTGCAATGGATGATCAGTTAGCTGACTGTCGCGAGGTCTTCTGCTATTTTGATAGTAGAGGAGATGAGAAGATAAGTGTACAACAGGTATGCGCATTCTTTATACTTGAAAATGCCACCCAATCCCAAAAAAATCGCATCACATCATTTGTTCTCTTATGCTCATTTTTAGGTGGGTGACGTGTTGCGAGCACTTGGACAGAATCCAACTGAAGCCGAAATTGGTCGATGCTGCGCTGCATACGAGAAGGAAGCTCGCCTTTCGTTTGAGGACTTTGTGCCAATTTTCCAATCAATCAGCAAGAACAGGTGAACCATGATTTCCAATTTTTTTTTATTTTTCTCTTTCGAACTGTCGCTTCCAAGGCATTCACTATTCGCAGTCGCAGCAATCATTTCCTTTCTGGGGGCTCAATGTTTTCTCTTTGGTATCAGTTCTGACAATCATCCCGCATCGGACCTTGACAAGAAATTAACCCTTTGACGACCGCCGTTATGAATGCGTCACTTCACTTCTTTCTAAATTTTTTCATCAATAATCATTAACTCTCCAACAATTTCACTATTAGTAATTAGCGCATTATTCCGCGAATTCGATAATGTATTTGTGTAGTTTTGAAACATAAAAAATGCCAAAATAAACCCCTAAAAACGTGTCGCCACCGAGCGAAAGTGTGGCCCACCGGCGGGCCACACGGTCGTCAAAGGGTTAAAGCTGTTAGCAGAAAGACGTCAACATCTGATGCAGTATCATTACATTTAACTATTCACGACAATGTCAGCCGGTGACCGACTTCGCAGCTGCTCGAAAGACACGGGTCGCGAATTGGCTAAACAGTTTAACAGATTATTTGCTGCCAAAGCATATAAAACATGCTGTGACTTATGATATAGTTAGTAACTTAACGGCTGCCTCTTTTCTATGAGAGATCCTTTGAAAAAGCTGGTCCCGACGATACTTAGTGTCCGAGAAATAGTCGCTTTTCTTTATCACCCAAGAAGAAAATCTATCAATGCACTCCATACTTTTAGTGAATATTTGTTATTTTTTAATTTTCCGCTTTTCATTACTTTTGGGTTGCTCCTACATCATTTTCTTGACTCGATCCAAATCCTTTCCTATTTATCCAGTCAAGAAAAAGTTCATTAAAAAGGATATCCGCGATGATGATTTTCCTTCCCCTGCCTCTAATATTGGACTTCCTAGCAGGGTCAACCGTCACGTTCGAACATTTTCGGGATTTTTTGCGCCCCCCCCCCTCTGGAAGGGGTCCACAGTTGCGACCCCCACCAATGCACAATTGCGACCCCCCAATACAACACCAGCCATCCCCCCACCGCGACCTTCCCTCTTTCTATAGTATTTGATTCTGAGACCCAAGTGCACGCCCCTTTTCCCTCCAGAACCCCAAATCGACCTCACGATTTCGGGGGGGAGCGGACCCGCCCCCCGCCGTTCGAACTGTCTTTCGAATCGGACGGTTGACCCTGATCCTACTCCCCCTGATTCAATCGTGCTTGTTTCCAGGAAAAGCCACACTGTTGAAGAGGTTTGTTGAAGGCCGTTTCACATTTGCGCCCAACCCAACGGGGGGAGGGGCAATGGTTTGATCAATGTAGCGGAATTGCGCCATCTGCTCACTACTTTGGGTACGTGTGCTATTATTTGATATTATTACGATATTTTTAACAGTTTGTTTTTTTTTTTAAGGTGAACGACTTACTGATGAAGAAGTCGATCAGCTTCTAGCGGGACATAACGACTCTCACGGCAATGTGAATATTGCCGATTTTGTGCGCAATGTGATGAACTCTTAACTTCTTCATGTACACCAATTAAACTTTGTTCTGTGACCAGTAATAATGTGCCTCAATCTCATTCAGCTGGCGGCGCATCGTTCATTGATTTTGTCGTCATTATCACTCACCAATTTTCACTCGTTCGATTTACTTTTTGATATTGATGCTGATTGATTTGTTGTGTTCGTTCTGCTTCACGTCTTCATTCCATTGGCCATGTATTTAACAACAGTGATTAATCGTAATTATGCAATAAATAATGATCTTATTGCTATCGTGCAATTTTGTTGGGTTGGCGTCCTTTATTATCGAGCTTGAAGCTTTTATGAAATATGTATTTGCTGAAACTATTCTAAGGAACTTCAAAGCTGATCATGATTCAGCAGTGGCGATGTCTGGACCTGGTGGATCTGGTGTAGGTGGTGATACCTCCAGTATGTAGATGATGCTGACGGTGGTGATGGCACCTCTATGGAAGCGAGCCGTGATATAGCTCATGTGAAAGCTATCTTGGAAGAGGCCGGAGTAACCGATTACGATCCGCCGTGATAGTACACCTCCCTCCTTTGATGGTAAGGCCGCAAAATTGAATTGAACCACAGTTCTGGTCCGTGATTGCTTTCGTATCGGAGACTAGTCCGTCAACACTGCAGAATTTCAGTGGAGTGTTAAGATGGGCTCGAGTGGCAAATTTCACAAGCTCGGTTGTTGTCTTATGGTGGACTTGGAAAAACTGTAACATAAGTTCTCACGATCTTGTTCACGTCATAATTTCACTCTGTAATATGTTCGTAGTGTAAGAGCAGATAGCAAACAGCAGAAGTATGTATCCCATATCATTCTTGGAAGTGCAGCACGAACCACACGTCCGAACTCACAAAGCTGATAAATAACCGATTCCGTAATTTTGGATGAAGTAATGTTTTCAGTTACTGTATTCTACAACCTCTAGCTTGCTAACTCAAGCAAAGGCTGTATCGCAACACTGTGGAAAAATGGTGATAGATGAACCAGATGTTCAAATAGCTGTGGACTTTAGTGGTGGGTTTTTCACTTGGGTACATTTTTTGTCTGGTTTGCGACCATTGATTCCTTTCTTTGTTTGTTTGTTTTCTTTGAGTTATTTGGCGTCATCACAGGATAAAGGGTCATTGTAATGGCCATCGTTTAGAACCCCTAGTTGTTAAAAATGAGGCTAAATATGGGCACTGCTCCCTCCTCCCGACTTAGCCGTAGAGGCCTGTCATACGCGTCGTCGCGCATGATGTCGATATTCACAAATCTCTCTTTCCTTCCTTTCTGCTTATTTCGGATGGGCTTGAAGTTGCTCGCAGTTGTTCGTGACTCTGGGGAGGATTTAGGCCTGCTTTTGCTGCCCCCCGTATTGCATAGAATTTCCAAGAGTACTCTCAGAATCAAAAGTGACGTGTGTCAAGAGGGTTTTTATATGTATCAGGATATGGCGCCACTGGACAAGAATTCTATACAGGAATGGGTTAAAGACGCATTAGGTTCGCTGAAAGCTCTCCTATTTGAGGTGAAAATGGGATTTCTCAGGGATTTTTAAGAAATACGTGAGGTTTTTATCGAAGAATTTAAAAAGAATTTCACTGTTGAGAGTGTAGATCAATGTCAGCGTATAATCTCTGGAGCGAATTTTTCGGAGGATTTTGGAGAGTCGTTAGGTGTAAGTACTGATGTACTGGTAGAGAAGGACGAAAAGGGCAGAAATATGGAATAGGTTCCAGCTGCGGGCTTGTCACTATTTTGCTCATCAACACATATTAGCTCACTTAACGTAATAAATTGTTGGGAGCATATTACTAGATCTTCTCCACTTGGAATCGTTATTCTATGGTTTTGACATTGTTTGTGCTTCAACAAACCGTCTTGTGCCGCCACGAGAGCATAATGTGTTTTCTGGATTATGGGTAATGTCAACTTCCAATTTCGCCATTTCAAGGCCGAAGCGAGAGGGAGTGTGGGAACGTGGTTACATCATAAACTGCTTCAACCTCAAATGAGTTCAGCATATCTGATTCTTTAGTTAGGTATTACAGGTTTTCTGAACGATGGCAACACTAGCAGAGATTATGTTCTCAAAATAGCCGCCGAGCGAAATTTCACACCGCTGAGCGCAATCGCCATACTTTCGGCCTGAAGCTTCTAATGACGCGTCATGATTTTTATTCATCAGCATCTATTATGACATCTCCATAGGAAAGAGTGGAGCGATACTGTTTTCTTTTATTCCAGGTTTTGTCTTCTGCAACCGAATGTCGAATGGCGTGGTTCTGATCGGTCTAACCCGCCGATCTGGTTATCGCACACATCATCAATACTGTGGGTCAACCAACGCTGCTTCATCGGCCTATGTGGATGATAGTCTTCAACAACTGCGTCCTGAGCACGTCACCAATATACTGAAAAGATCAGCCGACGACGATTTTGATGTTTGAGCGCGCATTGGGTGTTACTTTTACCGGGTAGGTCGGTTTTGACCAGTTCATTTTTGGTTTTTAGATGTTGTATTATATTCTTCCTGATGATTCTCATGATCTCAGTGTTTGTTTCCTTTCTTGTTTCTTGTTAACGGATTTCAATAGTTTTTTTTTTAAATATGGATGCTTTTTATTCAGCTGTATTTCTTGAAAATTTGTTTATACATTTGGTTGGAATTATGCTGGGAGAAGCCTCTGGTAAGCTCTGCTCTCATGAATAAAAATCCGTTTAGAATTTCTGTTTGCACCTGGAAATCATTCCCTTCTAGATGGTAGTGCGCAAAAATCAAATTGCTAGGTCTACGAGGCGAGAGCTCTCTCAAGAGCCCTGTGGATTTTAAAGCATTTTTGGAGTCCCAACATTTTGACAACAGTGCGGCTTTATGTATTCATGGTCGGCATATTTTGTGCACCCATTTCACAATTAACGTTTTAGAGAAAGGGCAACAAAAAGTGCTTCTCTTAGATGAAGCTTGTTACTGTTAGGCTACTAAGTTTATTTTTCCTTTGCTGTTAGATAGTATTCTGATACAACCTTTTGCCAGAAGAAACCTGTATCCAACTCTGTTTGGATTCCGAAGTGAAAAATTAAAATTTTCCAGCCTGTTCCGAAATTTTGTTCAGCCGAAGAAGTAGTTTTACGGCTGGTTAGACGACATTCAGTAGAGCCTTGAAAAGAAGTAGTTGCAACAGTTTTCTTGTCGGGTTTCACCATTTTTGATGTATACAGTTACATTGATAGATGTCTGCATAAGAAATTCTTCCAAAATTCGCACTGTGCCAAGGTTTTAATGACTTATGATCTTTTATAAGAATTAAAGTATTATTAGCAATGGCTACCCGATGATTTCGTTTCATTTCCAGATCCTATCATTCATCTTCTATTTCTCTCAGATGAAAAAACAGTCGTTATCAGCCTTATTTGTTACTTGACCTATTTTGCTCAAACACATGACACTTCCTATTGAAGATGTCCGTACAGTGCTGTGAACAAGTTATAAGAGCTGTGATAAGCGTTGGCTAACGACCATCAAACAATCTCTCTTTAATAAGTGAACGTGAATCTATCACATTGTAACAAACCCAAACATAAAGAAAAAGGCACAAAATGATACCCGAAACACATACAATGCAATATAATAGTCATGGCTCGAAATATTGACTGAGGTCAAATATAATATATGCGCATTTAAATGCACATGGTCAACCAGCTATAGGTTAACGAAGGCTACCAGAAAATCTCACCTAAGGCACTACGTAAATACTCTGTAAGCATAGAAATCTCTGACTCAAAATAGAGAATGAAACAAACGCAAAGAAGAAAATGACTGGGGAAATAAATACATGCCCAACACTATAGGGAAGCTTTCTGGGGGAAATTGTTAGAATTCAAAATCACGGTATTTTTCAAGGCGTTTACGTTCATCAGCTGTAAGTTTATGCATAGCGATTCCTTTTCCATAGACGGCAAATTCGAAAGGCCTGAAATTATAATTTTGAGTGATTCTCTAGAAACTCTAAGTCAGAATTTTTCGCAGTCGACTTTCTGCTTCACCCAAATCCAGGCCGCAGTGCGTCGCAGGTGACCATTTTGAATTGGTCACATGGCATGTACTATTTTTTTGAAAATTCTTGTGGTCACGACGCAAAAGGACTCACTACATAGAAGTTAAGATTGTAGAGGAAAAAAAGGATCAAAAATAGGGTAAGAAAGTGGTGACCTGGAATCGAGCATCTCGAACGACCGAGGGCTAGCCATTTCATGTTCAGTGGCTAGAACAAAGATGAGCTGAAAAAACGTTTATTGTCGTACCATTTCCGAAATATAGAGTGATTTTGAAGCACTTTATCTATTCTGTCCTACCTCGACCAGTTTTCCGGCTTCTATCAGCGCAGAATGAATGAATATGGATGGGCCGGCCATTGAAAGTATGAAAAGCCGATCGCCGGACGAAAGTGGATCAACACGGGCTCGAAGAACTATAAATCATCCATATTAACTCTTTCAGTGTTTACAGAAGCTTTGCTCAATTT